TGTAATATTTACGCCAACCCAAATTCAAATAGTAGCCTAACGAATTTAATTTCAACCAAGTAAGTAAATGTTTGTAGCAAACTAACTGTTAAATTAGCAAACATTGACCGTTTACAATTAACATATGTTCTTCTTCTCACTTTTAATTTCTGACAACAGCTGGAGTTTCATAGCAATATTTGTTTCCCATGTTAATCTTATAGAGAAATACGGAAATTTAAAGGGCTCCAGGGCCTCACCCTCTTATTATTTCCCTAAAAAGAAAGTTTCCTGCACAACTTCACGTTACGCTCTTTCCAATGACACCAAGAACATGTAAATCGGTTCAGTAGTTTTGGAGGAGTAATTGTCACAAAAAACCTGCTTGCGTATTAAATAAGTATAGATATCCCATATGGCGAATAACCTTTTGACGTAGTTCTCATGACAATCCACGGGCCCGGACCAAAGTGGTATAATTTTGACGAAATTCTGTATGAACGTGCAAAGCTACGGTTTTTCGAAAGTTATCGCAAACCATGCATGATCGGAAAATAGAAACAGGCTATTCGGGGTAAATATTATCTTTCCCCAAGTTCACCCTCATAACATAAAATTTGGAGATTTTTGTACCTGACGTAACATTGGTAACCTTTTTTTAGAGCTTAAGAAATAGTTTTGTATATTGAAGCGTTATTGTACGTCAAATGGTTACGGATGAATAACACTTAATTTAAAATTCCCATGTTACCGTTATGGGGAATATGTGACCTATGTTTGCTTGTTTCATCAGATTTGGCAAATTTGCTTATTTCATGCCAAGCTACTAATATTTGACTAAAACACTTTGCACGCTTGTTACACCCCTTGTAGCAACAAACCTAAGTACTCGTTAACCTAATGTAAGGAAATCAACATGAAAAGTCTAAGGAGATATTTGAGTAAAAATCATGTCAGGCAAGGAATTGGCTGAGTGTGCAGGTTTGCAGAAAAGGAGGTGTTTACAAATCTATTACTATTTCGAAATTGAAATCAGCCTGTTAGAACCACGATACGCATTTGTAATAGGCTTTCCAAGAAATATATACGTTCCCTTTACACAACACACGTCATGCTTTCCATACGTATTTGCGAAATTGTCAGAAACATTCAAATCAAACCTAACTCAAAGAACATTCCCTCCCCTTGGAGATGAAATGTATTCAGCAAATCTAATTACATTAATTGGATTGCTTCCTGGAGTAATCATGAAGTTAAAGGGTGTAACGTCATTTAGGTTCGCCATTTACAAACGACCAATAAAAGCTTTGTAAATGAGGCACAAAGCTGGGCTCAGGAAAATGATTCGCTTTAATTGATCGCTTAGCTTTTTTAGCTAAGACATAGTAAGACAGGAACGCAATCGGTACATGATATAGTTATCTGTAAGTTGAACGTGTTACGATCAATAAGAAACAATAGAGATTTTATTTTTTTCTTTGCTGATGACTTGACTAGGTATGAGAAATCCTTTTAAATAAACTATTTTTTATTTATTTCTACTCAAATGGTTATTTTGAAGGAAAAGGACTATCCCTATTCTTGCTACTTGTCTGTTAGTAACAAGAAGTCAACATTTTGTTTGACACATTGCATTTGGATCCCAGATTGACTTCGCTTGGTTTGAACCAGAAACCTCTAATCCGATTTTGAAGAAGTATTTGGCTACCTACCCAAAATATTTATAAAATGAAAACACAAATAGTTATTCTACTTTTGGAATTTTCTCAAGAATGCATATGTTCCCTGACTTTAATTAGGAGAAAACAAGAATTCAGGTTATAATACGAATTATTAAGGATTGAATCATCATTTGGTTACTAACTTTTGATTTAGCCTTCAGGCAATATATACAACATGATAAATAATATACACTTCTTGTCCAAAAATAAGTGAAATCCTAGAAATGTTTTAAAATCTCCTACTATTAATGTAAGACTGCGCGTCCTTCCACTTAAGGAAAGTTTAGAAAAAATCGGTAGAAACAAAAACAAATTCAAGCGTTAAACTCAATCACCTAACCCGGGTATATTGTATTCCACACTTCCTAAATCACTTGAATCGGTTGATTTAAGATGTTTTAGCCACAATACACGCCTATTTAGAATAACGCATTATTGGTCAAACGATATAAAAAAAATTCTATGACTAGATCAGGGGCTATATCACTAGTCTACTACTAAAGTCTGAAATAACGACAACTGAACAAAGACTTTTACAGAATCGTTTTAAGAGACTTTACAACACATTTAAGAGCAATGACCTTTCTGATATAAATATTATGTAGATGTGAAAGTTTAAGGGCAACCCCTCTGACACACACCTTAATAGTCACATCCTTATATTTGTAAGCTTTAGTTCGACTCCAATCGAGGTTCCAGAAATGTTCAGAACTAAGAAATGTTTAAAATTATTTAGACGTTCTAGAGATTAGAAATTATATTTAGAACGAGTTTGAATCACAATTGACTGTGCAAATAAAGTTATCATATAGTAAAATCCGAAGGATGCACTGATGAATTTCATGTTGATGACGTTTGAATCTAATTTTAGGCAAGAGTGAGTAATATTTAGGTTAGTGAGTTCAATACCAAAGGACAAGTGTTTGTTTGTAATGAGTTTTTTTACTTGCGTGGAATTTTAAAGGACAAATAACATGAAACCAATATTTAAAGAAAATGCCTTCCGCAAGACCCGGACAGAACAAACATCAATATTTTCTTCAGTTGATTCATGACTGTATGTGCCTATATCAATAATGGATTATGTTTAATATGGTTGTACCAACCAAAACGCTGCTACTCTCTAAATATATAGCACCTAAAAATGTACATAAATTTTAGGCAAGAGTGAGTAATATTTAGGTTAGTGAGTTCAATACCAAAGGACAAGTGTTTGTTTGTAATGAGTTTTTTTACTTGCGTGGAATTTTAAAGGACAAATAACATGAAACCAATATTTAAAGAAAATGCCTTCCGCAAGACCCGGACAGAACAAACATCAATATTTTCTTCAGTTGATTCATGACTGTATGTGCCTATATCAATAATGGATTATGTTTAATATGGTTGTACCAACCAAAACGCTGCTACTCTCTAAATATATAGCACCTAAAAATGTACATAAATATAAATAAACGAGAGAAAAACAATAACAGCATCGAGAGATATTTTTAGTGTAAAGGCTGGAGATGATTTGCCAATCTGTCTATGTGTCTACACATAGATAGATTGGCAAATCACATTGTCTTCACATCGTTTGGATGATGTTTCAACACCAACTGCAATTTTTCTTGTTAGGTGTTTTGTAAAAATAGATCACACGCGTTAGCGATTAAAAAAATTAAATCGTCATTAATTTTTTTCAGTTTACACCGTTAATTTTAGTGACGTTTCCAGCATGATGGGGATTTGGGGGTCATCGTCCGGAAGTTTTTTTTCATTTTTATAGCCGTTTGGTGACTTTTAAAGCCATTTCCAACGTCTAGGGTTCTGTCTAAACCTGGTGCATTCTTACGACGAAATACATGATTACATTTATATTTCCAAGGTCCGATTGTGGGGGGGGGGGGCTTTAGCCACTATATCCCTCACTTGGAACCACCCGCCACTGGTTAATTTGAAAAGACTACCATCTCTGAACAAATGATTGACCCTTTAAAGTGTAACAACACGATGGTGGTTATAAAGAAATCTAAAATATTCATATGGCTGGTGAAATGTAATCTGTGAAAATCACGATTATAAATGAAAAAAAAAACATTATTTCTATTTCTTCTGCTTGGTTGTGTTCTATGGCTCTTTCTATGTTTCCATTGTTTACAAATCAGTTATTTCAATGATTGCTCAAGAAATGTAGAGCAGTGTTTATTCAGTTTTATTTTTAGCCTATATCTAATTGTCCAGGATTTCTGGTTTTTTTTCCATTGTAATAATTTTACCAACCCAAGTTTCGTCGACAGATGCAATACGCCAAAGAATATCACCTACGTACAATCTCCAAGAAGTGGTAAAAAAAAGCAGAAACCAAGCCATACAATAGATATAAGTTAACCCCTTAAGAAATAATTTTAAGAGTTACTGTGATATTAGGATTTTCCACTGATTTGGTAATATAACATTATATTGCAAAACATGACACGATGCAGAATAAAATCAATTTTAAAATCAGAAAACCCCATTGCAAATACTGTACTTCATTTTGAAAAATTCAATAAATCACAATTTAACAGCTGTTTCATTAAAAAGTAGTGTTGAATTATGCATATGGTAAACAAATTTGAAGAGGCAACTTTAAAGGCTTCTGGGGCAGAGCCCCAAGGGAATTTACCTCGTTCCTCTTTTGATGGCTCATCTATAGACCAAGACCTTTCTTTAGAGACCCCTACCAAGTTTCTACGCCCAGCCGTACTCTCAAATTAGCTGGGACAAAAACCCAGTTTTTCCTTCATAAGAATAACATGGGATGGGAATTCAAAGGCCACTGGGGCAGAGCCCCAAGGGAATTTACCACATTTCTCTTTTGATGGCTCATTTACAGACCAAGACCTTTCTTTAGACACCTCTACCGAGTTTCTACGCCAAGCCGTTCTCTCAATTTAGCTATGACAAAGAAAAACAGTTTCAAATTAATATATAGATATTTACCCAAGTCTAGAACATAGTTTTATTTTCATACTTGATAGATCATATGGTATTAATAGATTTGGAGTTTATTCAATTTCAATAATATTGTGATTTTGACTATCAGCTGACTAACGTTTCAATTATTTTGTTTTGTTTTGAATACGTGTTTCATATAAAACAAAACATTGCACAATAAGTTTGGTTTATGATCAAATTTACTCAAGTTTGTTTCGTGTTTCACAATGTTTCACCTAATTCTTTTATTATTTGTGTGCTTCGCTCGGTCAATTTATGGAGTTACAATTCCCTCGGTAACCCTGTTACCAAATTCTGAGTATCACTGTTGTTCTAAAACAGGATTCAATACTCTCAACATATACTGCTATTATGGGACTGAAAAGTCGTTGGAAAACATTTGGCAAACGGTGGAAGTGTCATTGGATATGGAAGGCCGATCAAAATATGATTTATACATAGGAGCTAACGAACAAGAAGTCTGGACGCTTTATTTTGAAGACAGTAAAACATCTTGGGGATTCAACGTGCTTAGTCGAAGGCGCAAATATATTTCATTGGATCCTTTCAATACAACCTGTCTTGGAATAGATACTGGGAACGACTATACTCTCAAAGTGTCAGTGACTCGAGTAAACAAAGTGTTTCTAGGAATGTTCATCGTGGGGACTTTACTCTTCCTATTAGCTCCTCTTTTGGTCCATGAACCGCTATGTTTCTACATATTTGGAGTCATCTTCGGCATTTTAGCATCTTTGTTGATTGTATTGTACTTCATTTTAAATCTTCTACCCTTGAAGAAATCCGCGACCATTGGACTTCTAGCTGGTGGGTCGACGGTGATTATATATTGTTTCCAAGCATTCGTGAACAATATTTATCTTCTAGCACTAACACACAGAAAGATTGTGTACGGTTACTTGATCGTAGTCGGTTTGATCAGTCTGACAGTCTGTTATCGATTTGGACCTATAACAAATCAACGGAGCAAAAACATTTTACAATGGTCCCTTCAGGCCTTCTCGATTCTACTAGTTTTCTACAGCAGCCATAATCAAAAACTAACTTTTTTGTCATGCCTTTCAACTATGCTATTTTATAAGATTCCGATGTTTAATTGGGCTCTGTTTCAGTTCCCAAAACCTATAACAACGAACCATAACAATGCCGTAGCGACACAAACTCCTTCCAAAATCGTTTCTACTAAGAAAGTTTACTTTGTGTCAAAAGATGAATTTGTGCAACACGGAATTATAGAATCGAGGAATTTAGAGGAGCTGCGCCTATCTTATCTTGATAGTTTCAAGAAAACAACTCCTCCCAAAAGCTTTTCCAAGAAACCTCGCTTTCTGACAAAGGAAGAGTTCAAGCAACAAGGAATCAAAGAAACGAACATGGCTTTACAAGATCTGCGACAATATTGTCTGCGCAACCCAAAAGATGTCAAACATTTAAACCGTAGCAACTTGAAGAATTTCACCCAATTTGTGGTTAGTGGAAAACACGATCCCAGCAACTATGTTCGAATGGAAATCGAGGAGATATCAGAGGATGATGATTAAAAGAGTAGAGATTCCACTATGTGAAACCTGTTGAGTGTTGAATCCGAATGTTTTTGTAAATTACTTAGTATTTATAAATGAGTTTGCTTATTACGTATGGTATTTAATTTTAGAATTGAATTATATGTTAATAACTTTAATAAACGAGTTTTTTCTCCGAAGACTGTGTCATGTGTTTTTAAAGTCTTTGAGGTTTATTTTCCCTTTTAATCTTAGTAACTTCAGAACACACACAGTGACTAAGTAGAATTTTTACCCTTTACACTGAAAATAAACTTTCTGTAAACCTTAAACAATTTCTCCTTAAAGTGGCATCAAACTAGATGGTACGGTTTTTTTTAATCACCCCAAAAGTTAGTCGTTAGCTATTGTTTAAGCACTTGCAAATGAACTATGTAGGTTTTCCTGTAGTATTTAGTTATACTGTAGATAGCTCAAAACAAAAAAAAACAAAAAAAAAACAGATACGAGTAGTCTTAAAACTATTGGTTTTACAAAGTGTGGGTTTATGGTGCTGTTTCACTTTGCCATTAAAGAGTGACCTACTCTACTATACACGTTACACGTTTTCTCTAACCCTCAGTCTAACAAATCCCCTAATAACCATTACCTAAATCTATCTTCCTTTATCCACCCGATACAAGTCTTCTGTTTCGGCGCTCGTTTGAGCGAATTTCCCATATAGGGAATACGCTATTTAACGTAGGTCTAAGAACTGGACCTGGGACCACTTTATTTTTAATTTTGATGTCCGTTAACACTATGACTCAAGTAGAAATCATGAAGTTTTGGCGAAATACCAAATTCCCATGGCATTCTTTTTGATTATAAGTCAACTGTTGTAGTTTGCTTTTTTGAAGATATATTTTGATTAAATTTGAATAATTTATTAAGCTTAAAGTATTTTACACAAAAATACACTTCACTCCCTGTGTTGGTAAACCCTAGATTGCTGATGTATTCTTGTTGCTTGGCTTTAGTCATTCATGTACAGCGGTTACCATGGTTACCATAAGTTCCGGCGCACACCGCTGTAGTTTACGTAGCGCGTACGCTGTAACTACCGTGGCGATTCCAGCGGTGTGCGCCAGAACCAATGGTAACCGCAGCACAGCTGACGGTCTATATTTAATTCTTTTTGTCTATGGTACAACTCACATACTCATAGACACTAGCGTTTCAGGGGGCTGATAAAAAACCGATGAGAACCTCTTCTGCGAAGGAGTGGGGGTTGTACTAGAGAGCCACACGTCGATTCAAGAAAAATTATAAAATTCATTATATATATTGTATTATAAAATTAAACTGTCATAACCTAACCTAACTAACCAAACTTGCTGATGATATGAAAAAGATATAAGATAAAATTGAATGAAGGTTTACTAATCGAAAAGTAGTTCTGTTTATAAAATATAATAACAAATTCTAACAAAAAAAGTACAGTTAAGAAGTAATCGCATTATAAGCAAAATCTTTCACAACAAGGTAGTGTCACCGGTGGGATTCAATCTGGTTACCTCATGGGTATCAGCCGAGTACTCTATCCGCTACACCACGAACACCGATGGCTGCACTTCGTATCGTTGCGGTAATGGTGTTCCCTCAAAAGGAGAGAGTGACATCACACCTTCGCAGAAGAGATTCTCATCGGTTTTTGACCAGGACCCCTGAAACGCTAGTATACATGACTGCCATTTTCACTATCAAACATCTTCGTAAATACTTTCTTCTTCACTTTCGCCGGACGTTATGTTTATCATACCATCTTCGTCCGTATTTTTACCTCCAGCTTTTGCTCTCACGTCACATCATAATAAAGTTGTACGTTTTTAAATCATTGTAGCTTATCCTTCTTTTCTCTTAGAATGATAATAGATGGTAACTTCTGTTGTTTAGGTCATATTTGGTAGATCTCTTGACATTCTTATTAATTAATTTTTCGATATTCCGTTTATAAACCGCCACCTATTCAAATATTACTAGATATAACTTTAAGTCACGAAGAGCCTATAAGAACCGAAGTTCGTTAAACTATCCGTGAATGCAGATGTGCTTACTGTTTAAGGATTTGGTATAAATTTAATGCAATTATTGTAAGATATCATGTAACTCTTCTCCTATTTACAAAATGGACTTTTAAATTGTTCTAATGATAACAGGTTTGAACATTCACAACAATTACAAACTTTACTAATAGTTATCTGGCACTGAAACTAATACTGTAGTTTTTAATTATTACTAGAAATATATACTAAGCCTAAGCCCTATATGCGATTGCAAAAAACTTAATCAAGATTTCTCCATGAATCTTAAAATTACGGAAAGATTTGTCGCAGTGAAAAACGCAAATCGTCGAAAGTGCCTGGGGCGTTGAAACAATAGTTGACGGGGGAGGGGAAAAATAGGGATTCAGTGGTGAAGTATTGCAGAACAATGAACAATGACGCTGAAAATGTAACTTGGGGCTTGACACGAATATTGACCGTCGTAGGGGAGTTTCTCCATTCATCCAAATACTCTTGCCATGGCAAACATGCAGGCTAAGCAAATTTATTTTTGTTTTATTGGAGCGATAGTAAATTATTCCGATACAAGACATACCCCCCCCTCTCATTTAAAACACTGGATTTAACGAGTTCCTAGATTTGCTGCTACGGGGAAGATAAAAGAGGGGTTTTCACAAAATGTTAATAGTATAGATAAATTTGAAAATTTGATCAACACACTATATTTTTCAGCAAACTACAAAGTTTCTCTTTTATCCTTAAGAATAACGTAGTGATCTTAAATGTACAGTTTCGGGATATTATCCGTAACATTTAATGTTACTACAATGTTTGCATATACACGATTATTTTTTACGTTCTAAGACGACTGAAAAATAGGCATTTTCAATTTTTAAGGGTAAAATAAAATAAAACAATTTTAGAACATTTCAAAACCCCATAATACCCCGTTCCCATGACCCAATCTTGCTGGTTCACGAACCTATACCCAGCCATTAACCTTTAAGCAAAATTTCATGAAAATCGGACCAAAATTATCCGGGATATCCCCACGTTTACGGACGTATATACTGAATAGATATAAACAATTGTACGAATGGTATTTTTGGCCTCTTAGGACATAAATAAGAAAAATGAAATAAGTCCCAGGTCTAGTTCTTACCGTGCTGCCTACGGTAATAGCTACTTCCCTATAGGGAAATTCGCTAAAAACCCACCTCTTATTTACCACCTTATACGATATAATTTATTTATTGTACTTTAATGTATGCTTTGATTGTTGGTAAACGAGTGGAGTATTTTGCAAGTTTACACTCAAGTACATACTTTCTATTATACCTTAAACACTATTGGAACTGAAAATCCAAGAGAGTGCAACAGACTACATTTAAATAACTAATTTAGTCCCACCTTCTCAGAAATTGATCCAATGCTTTAGTTTGATACCAACACTTTTTATAAGGTAGGTTTTTTTATATCCGGTAGGCTAGGAAGTTATGGAAGTTATACCACTTAAAGAAAAATATTTAACCAAATTTGAGTTGGATTAGTAATGAATTTAAACTGTTGTCAAAAAGAAATAATTATCTAAATAGTGCCTGTCTTCAAATCTGACATTTCAAGGAAGTATTTTAGTGAAAATCCCTTTAGACAAATGAAAATTTTTAGATGTTTGCTGCAACGGTATTTTTAGCGGTGCCTTAAAAACGTAGTTAAGATTTAATATCAGATAAGTTGATGTAAACGATGATTTTCAAAAGTGGTGGTAACGGCGGAGAAATTTTTCGCAAATCCATAAATAAAACCAAACTGGATACTGAAACTAAGAGGATCTCGGCTAATAATGAAATCACCAAGTTGAAGTTAAGAAAACAATCCACGAAATAGAAATGGCAGGAAGACGGATGGCTTGGGGTGACAATCGATTAATTTTCAATGTTTTCTTTTCCAGTGTCATTCGCCAGATATATTTTTTATTCCCTAATTCTTTTCCGTATCGTTTCTGGGGCTAAATTACTAAAATGAAAGGAAACGCATATGAAATATTCATTAGCATAAGGATTTGTGCTTATTTTTTGCAGCAAAAATGATAATGGTACCGGTACTACTGTATTGAAGGGATGATTTGAACTTCGTTTCTCGAGGAACATGCAGGTTGACTTTAATTAATTTAGGGGGGGGGATAGTTTTGAGCTTTATTAGGGTTCTGCCTTACAGGTTTTTCGTATTATTGTATTGTATAATACTTTATACTTCTATTACCAGTCGAAGGTTTGTGTAGACAATTTTGTTTACAATTCAAAAACAAAAAGAATACGCATAAAAATTTTGCGCCTCCATTGACTTTGAAAATGTAGTTTGTTTATGCTTTGACTCTTCTTACACAGTAACACCAATGCTACAGAAGTGAACAGTTTTGGTGATGGGTGCAATTTTCCGATTTTGTGTAAATATAATCCCAATATATCCAACCAAAAAATCACCCGTTATAGCAATACGGGGATCCAAGCTATTGAACGTGGATTTTAGTATAGAGCTTGAATTCTAAAAGTGGAAAATAACAACAATACAAATAAAGAGAGACGAAAACGTTATATTTTCCACGTAAAGTAACACCACTGAAATACAGGAAGCAAGGGGTGGAAAGAATGCGTTTATTTCAAAGTGAACGTTTGTTTCAAGCATTTCTCTTTTTACGTTTTCCCGTCTAAGATGTTGAGCTATATTAAACTCTTTGAGTGGTTCAACCTTTGACAGAATATATGTATTCGTATTCTGATTTGTTTGTGAAAACAGATATTTCTATCTAAACAGGTTACAGTTAAATTTCCTGTTAAGTAAAATATCACCGTAGTTGTCATCATGCAAATTTATCATTGACTTTTTCAGTTACTTTTCCGTATTTTAAACTGACTATCAAGGCACACAAATATTGTTACAGAAACAGTGTGGATTAACGTAATAGTATATTTCGTACCTAGGGCCGAAAATGAGGTTTTGCCGGCTCGAGATAGTTTTTAAGTTCGAGACGAAGTCGAGAACTTAAATCGATCGAGAGCCGCAAAACCATTTCGGTCCGTGGTACGAACGCTATTTTTCACCACACTATACCCTATTACCACTATTCACCACAATA